TGATTTGTTTGGCACACAGTCTGGCATAAGAAGAGCGTGAAAAACCATACATGGTTAGGAATGTGAGGATAAACTATACAGAAAGTAGGCGTGTCTTTCGGTAACCGAAACCCAAAACAAATCGAGATGCTTGAAGGTCTAGAACTCAAGGATGAACCGGCAATCGGGATACATGATTATCAGGATTACAGTTGATCCTATGAAGACTTGACGCGGCTGAGCAGAATATCAGATGCCTGATCGTCATTTTGCAATCTATAGACCAACCATTGTAACAAATGTTTCGAATTGCACATTGGACCCTTTCTGTCGTGTACTGGTATACACCCCGCGACAGGAGTACCTCGTCTCCTCCCCTCCCAGTTCCTCGGATCTCCGTCTCCGTCTCCGTCTCCGTCTCCGTCCCCCCCCCCATAATTACGATAATCAACAGTTTTGCTAAACGAGTTGGCAAATGAATGAAAAACCGAAATACGAAATATCTTTTTGCAGTGACGAAAACACATCGTAGCAAAGCACTATTTTCCGGGCGACAAAAGAATTGTAACCCCATCGAAACCAATGTTATAGCCATTCCGTCCCAAAAACTTCCACATTCTTTCTCGGCATAGTCTGTAAAAGATTTCGAACAAGACGATAGTCGATATCATTTCACCACCTAAACAAGGACGCCACTAAATACTATTTTGTGATGTCCATTCTTGAACCTTCGTGCATCTTTCGGGTAACAACAGCTCACATGTTTTCTACCGAGTTCAAATCTGAGTTAAACACAGATCACAGGTGACCTCGAAAAAATAAGAAACGGCATTTTTCTGATACGAGTGAAGAACCGTGGCATCATCATATTGGAGAATGGCGTCATCGCTACGACCATTCGATATCGTCGGCGTCCGATTCGTTTATGGGTGGGTTTTCGTTGTTTCCGCTTCGTGTCCTGTGCTCCGCAGTGGATGTGAACTTACTAAATCGTCTAGCTATCTCATATCTAGTGGCATGGATCGTACAAAATGCACTATGTCCGGATTTCTCGCTGTCAATAAGCCTGTCCCCAGACTACGGTGACCCCGTTGGACGCCTTTGTTCCTTCCAGGTCGTTCACAGTGATGTGAGCATTTGATCACCGTTATCAGGGTGTCACATGACCTCTGACTCACCACGAGTGTCAGCCGCCTGGCCAAACGTGGGAGGAATGCTCGGGTGGAGTTATGAGCGTTAAAATCAAAGAGGAGAGCAATATTTTTGCCGCAATTAAAATGGTTTTTTTTAGATTTATTTCGTTATAATAAAAAAATACCTTCTCATTACGGTTTTTCAGTCGATTGATCATCGTGTATTAGGAAAAGGGAGATCTTCGAAAAATCCAAGGGGTGGGTGGGAGAGTGGAATACCCTTCTCG